CAACAAAACGAATCATTTTCACATAAAACATTAGATCTTATGAATTCATATTAATAGCAAGAGATTGTTAAAAGGACTAATTCTGTAGTGACGGGGGAAAAAAAAGCCATAAGCAAGTCATACATTTCTGATAGAAAAACATTACTGCTTGTTACCTTTTACATATATATTGTATATAAGCATATATAAAATCTTAATATTGTCCAGAACAGTTGGTACTAAATTAATGACTTCGTTTCCAGAAAGTCTGCCTTTCAAGATTAGCAGTTCCTTTCTAGTGAGCACGAGTCTCTTCTTAAGTCCTGTGCACTGCTAGATCCGTGCTCATGCACCAGAGTTGAAATGTGAAAGAACCAGCCAGCTGAATATAGGCTGCGCTTAGACTCGGGCACTATACCTCTATAAAGAAAGTATTTTTCATCTTTAGGAACAGAAATTCACCCTGATGATTCTGCTGACTCCTGTCTCTACCCAGACAAAACCAGACGAAGCTATTTTTTATCTATTCAATTACAAATTAATTACTTACGAGCATTACTAATTCCATTACTAACCTTAAAATTAACCCCAAAGCACTGCCAGAAAAACAAGCAAAAGAACAGTAGTATAGATTCATTATTAACAAGTATTTCCAAAACGAAAACATTTTCCATTTTAAATTAGGAGAGTGATATACCATTTAATATCAGAAATCACTACATCATTTCCAACACCTTGAATCAGTAAAATAAAATAAGCTTAAGAGTGCCATATGACATGGAAGCAAAGATGGGAAAGTATTCTACAATATGAGTGGAAGTAGCTTGTATTACAAGACACTGAAAACTGAGAATACACTAAAACAGTCTAGACACAGCTTTAACCTGTCACACAGTCTCCAGGGCTGACCCATCCCCAGTTTTGTCCAAAGGACCCACTCACACCAAGCGCAAGGACTGGCCTCTGCCAACATCATCTTAACTTGTGGGCCCTGAAGCATCCACCAGTAAACTGGGCTCTTGAAACTTGAGACTTTCAAATCCTTACTCTAACCCATACATCAAACCTAAGCTTATTCACAGCTCGGGAGTATGTGAAATCCGTGAGGACCTCCTCAGCTACCTACAACAGCTTCTGGGTGCAGTGCTGTTAATGAAAACTAAATTCAAATCGAGAGCGCACTAACCCGCTTCACAACTACTTGACTGATGAGGAGTCCAACCACGTCCACTCTGCACCGAGAGCACCCACATGAGGAATGAATTCTGAGCAGCCAGTTGGCTGTAAAGCCAGACTTATTGTATTAACTTAAGTGCACGACATGTTATTTGAAAGATGTGGAAGGTAATTAATGTGACTATTATCAATGAATCAGACATTAAAATACTAAAAGATTAAGTTTAGTTGATAACAATTCAATCTCCCTAAAATTATAAATAATAGTCAGTGTAAAGAATTTACAGATTAAAAGCTAGAGTTTTCATTAATGTCTGCAGTGATTTAAGATAGTCTCTATTTATGCCCAACACCTAAGAGATTATAGAAATAAAGGAATACAGACTTCAGCCCTGTGACTTTTATTGAATAAAAGTATCTTCACAATGCCTCTATCAGCCTAGATAAGATACAGCCTAATGTTCAGCTGAATAGTTTTAGCAAATAACTTCTGGTTCGTTTCAGAATAATCTGTTTTCCCTAAAAATTATTTCTGTAACTTTGAATTTAAACTGGCTGAACATATGGAAATAATATCTTACATAATCAAAAATGGGAGCAGCATAACAAGAGTGGATCTTGTTGTAAGTGCATCTGCTGTATGTAAACCACTCCTCTGCTCACAAAACATCAGACTTGTTGTGTCCTGATTAGATTTTTAATGTACTAGGTCAGCAAAAAAGCTGTTCCAAGTTACTTAATGAAAAGTGTCTTCTGTTTGCTGCAGACCGCTTTTGAGCCTGAGCCACGTGTGAAGAACAAGTTTTCACACACAAAGTGTGGTATCAAAGAGGTAAATTCCACATTAAAGTTGTAAAGTATGGATATAAAAAACAAAAACCCACAAACATTATATACTAAATCAAGCTAAAATATAATTTAAATACACCTTTCAAATTTATCCCTTACTCTACAATTGTCCAAAGCACCAAGTCTTTAGTTTGGATTCTTTGCCTACTATGTATCTACTCTCCATTGAAGCTGGCTTCATTTATCTGACAGGGCAAGACCCACTGACACCACCAGCTTCCATTCTGCTTTACGCCTACCACTTGAAAGTCCCTAAATCTGGGTGCCTTGGTTTTTGCTTTACTTTGTTGATTTTTATGGCTGACTAGAACCCTGAAGATGCACCTTTACGATGGGAAGATAACCCAGGCAAACCAGAGGAAGGCAGACGGATGAGACCGAGCGTAAGCTCAGTTAACAAATTTGACTACAAAATTGGGGATGGTTCAACAATTATTCCATATTCACTTACTTCAAAGTCTCTTCCAGTTTGCGAATTTTCTTCTGAGCATCCCCTCTTTCTTTATCAAGATCATTCCGGATGCCATGAATCTACCATTGGAAGGAAAACAAATACCATATTTTAGCTAAAACAAAGTCAGAGCTGAAAAAGAAGTTATTTTAAATTATAAAAACCTATTTATTTTGGATATTTCTTTTGCATGAATGTAGACAACCGTGTACATGTTCCTAAGATAATATAAAATGCAAGAATAAGGATTAACAGACATCAAGTATGAAAATACAGCCAGTAGAGCTATTTTTCTTCTCAAAATTAATATTATTCTCTAGATCAAATAAATATCAGTAATTACATGAAAAGGAACTAGATTTTCTTTAGATAAATACAGGAAAGCATATAGAAAAATGCCCAAATTAACGAGACGTATTCTTTATGGTGCAGAGTTCCTACTTACCAATTTGTGAATCCCCAATTTTATCAATTCTTACCACAATAAGAGTACCAAAAATAATGACAATAATCCACTTTAGATTAATACATACTCAAACATTAACTGAGTTAACTCTAAGAAAAGTAATACTTTGAGGATAAGTGGTTTACTACTAACGAACTCCTGACCAGTGAAATCAAACAAGAGTGATGGAATCATTATACAAAGCTTTTAATTCTGTGTAGTCAGAAGCATAGAGTATAGTTGTCCAATGAAAAAACAAATGCAGAGATTCTCTGCTGTGAGCAGTTCCATGTAGGGGTTTACTACACAGAAGTCTCAATACTTAGTTGGTTTGAAAGAGCTTCCAAACCGATGGGCTGCCTATCAGAGAAAAGAAGGTATTGCCAAACCTGCTAAATTCTATATATGTAATGGCTGGCTCAAGAACAGCTCTCAGGAATAATGTTTCACTGTTCTTATCCTTAGCTCAATGTTTGGAAAACAAGTGGTAGATTATTTATAAAAAGCAGGTGTTTCCTTGGCTTGTAAAACCATTTAGCTTAACTGGTTCCTGATTCAGCAGATAAGGACATTCAATCAAGCAGTGACATTTAGGGTTAGTACCTAGTATTTGTTTGATGTTTAAATATCCTAGCAGGCAATAGCCACTGTAGACTAATAAAGATTATTAGATAATGGGTAGTTTCTTAAGTGAACAGATTGCACCAGAGACTTCACGACTCCTTTACTTGAGGGCAAGCTTGTTTTAGTATTTTATGGGCCAATCCATATTATTTTATGGATTTATATCCCTAAATTCTTCCCATGTATTTTTTCTCCTCCTTTCTCAAAGATTTGCTTTGGAAAACAAAGCAAAACTGATGAACAGGAGTACTGCTGCAAAGTTACCTACTAATAAAGGGTCTACTTTCTCATTTACTGACACAGGTACAACTCAGTACCTGTCCTTACTGGTGCAGTGGGATTGCTGACACGCTCTTAGCCAATGCTAAGTACCATTCTCCCAAAGGATCCTCAAGCCTCATTCAAGGTTCACATTGGACAGGCACCACTGCAGCAGGCAGCACAAATGCATCCACCTCACTGCCCAGAATTGTAAAGTTTAATAGTCTACATGTGAGCCATTTGATGGTGTTTGGACTTGGTGCCTGAAAACATTACCAGTCACTTTTAATCTGTGCTTATCTGCAGTGGAAGTGATGTATTGCAATAAACCAATGTCCACTACACTAAAATAGCTAGAAGATATCCAAATTATACTACTGTATCTTTATTTTGACCTGCAATATTATTCCAATCCTAAGCTTTTCTTGAGGCCAACCTTCATAAAAAACATGACATGTCTAAAAAGACAAATGTAGGCTAGGATCAGACCAAAACATACCTTGGAGAAGCACGGAATAAAGATATATTGGGGAAAAGGAAGTACGGAAGATCAGAGGCACACTCACAACAGCTCAGGTTAAGTTCATTATCTTTTCTCTAGCAGCAGTTAACATCAGCTGCCAACAAGTGTATACAAACAGGCCAGGATTACAGTGGCACATCTTTGGTAATGTTCTCCCAGCCTCCAGTGTTTGGCAACAGACTCCCACACTCAGAGGTGTTCTCTCTGTACTTAAAAAATTGTACTTAAAATCCTCCTTGAATTTCCCCAATTATTTTCCCAACCCATGTGCAATGCTTAGATTCCAAAATTTACTTCTTGAGGGATTTCAGAATTAAACCTTTAGCTTCTGTACACAAACAGAAATTGGAACTATGCCCAAGATGGTGTATTTTCCTGATAACATTACCTGTTTTTCAAACACACGCTCCAAGTGAAGTTTCTCCTGTTGAAGCTTGTATTCTTGATCCTGCACGGGAAGAGATGTGTATTCTAAATAAACAAATCATATTTTCCTTTCATTTCAAAGTAGTCTTTAAACACACACGTATTTGCTATTGTACAGAACAATCCATAAAAATTACAGTCACTTTATATCATCACTGAAGAATTCTGACATCCAAATTTAACCAACAGCCAAAATATCCACATGGACAACTATCTCAAAAGTCGTGATTCATGTTTTCTAAAGAGAAACAGCAACTTGCTCTCCTGAACTATTAAAATGCCATTCTGTACTACATCAACTGTGAAATGAAAGGCATAGGAGAAAAAGTAGATGCCAAACTCAAACAGGATGGATACATGATACGGATGTGGAACTCATTATCCTGAGATAGAAGGATTGATTTAGATGCCTATAGGAAGAAGGAATATTGAAGTGAACTGTTAAATGGCAACAAAAATTTAAACTATTTTGAAACTTACTTTAAAAATGTTTAAAGTTTAGGAAAAAAAAAGATATATGTAACTCTTTTATATGCTTCTCTATAATCTCTATACATGTTTATATTGGTTTAACATGGTGAAGTACAACAGTCAAAGGATTTCTGTGAAAATTCTGCTTTTACCCATACAGTGATCTCTTTCAGTCATACTTTTTAAATCAACCTTTAAGCATGATGTGACACTTTACGTATCTCTTTGAATTAAACACATAAAGATGCATTTTATCTATAAGTTCATTTTAGTGAGACCATCTAAACATTCAAATCACTTGGACAAGTAAAAAGAGCTGGTCATTCTTGAGTAAGAAATTCAGGGCTCACCCTCAGCTGTTGCTGCCTTTGATGTTCTGAATCTTGTAGCTGTTGTTTTAGTAGAGCCACACTGTGCTGCAATTCTTCAATCGCATCAGATGCCTGCAGGGATTTAACAAAAACAGGAATTTCTGTTGCATTCCTCATCAGCTTAAACAGATACATCTTTAGGGGGTTTACATCTATTTCTCAAAGGTGCCTGGAAATTGGAAAAATATGTCATATTGGGAAGAAAAACCCATGTATGAGTTCACGACTCTGGGTATGTCAATTGTGTCCCTCTGGTGAACTTAGAAATGTGAACAAAACCACTAAAAATAGACAATAGTAAAACCCTTTGGCATTAACAATTGAAACAAACAAAAATACCTTGGAAATTAAATGGAGTAAAGTATCACCAAAGCTCCCAGCATTCCAGTAAATAAATGCAAAAGGCCTCATTTGTCCTATGGCTCTGACAATTAGAAGATTTAAAACATAGGCCTTTTCTACAACCACTGAACCTGAAAATTGTATTAAATATATGCTAAATATCTACCTATGCATATTGGTAGATATCTGGAATTTCTAAAGCAGCACTAACAAGATCAGTGTATTATTTGTCCTTTATCTGAATCAGTTATGGAAACACCACCTGTATGTACATGTACACACATTAGAATTACCAACTTCAGATGATTTTTCAGTCAAATTTGGCAATGAAAAATTAAATCACAATTTCTTTTTTAAAACTTATGCACACGAATAACTCCGGGAACTGAAGAGTTCCTTGGATTTATTCATAAGCATTACATTTCTATTGAAGAGACCACTTCAACAACATTTTCATGCCTGTTACACGTGGAAGCATACCTTAGCTGCAGAGAGAGCATGTTCCTGCTTTATAAAATTTATATCAACATCATATTTACTTTGTAGTTGCTGAATGTTCTTCTCGTATTCCTGTATAATATGGTCCTTGTCTTTCTGAAGTGAGCTGTGCCTACAAGTGGTAAGCAAACAGAATATGGAAATTGCTTTCATATTTTGCCATTTTACCTGCTCAGTATCAATTCTACAGAGTATGCAAGTCTGCCTGCACCACGTGCTCGCTGTAGCAGAATGAAACACTTATAAATAATGGAAGGATAACATCCTCCTTATAGTGGTCACTTGGGTTGGTTCCCAAATAAGTTTTACATCAATTAATACAATGTAAAACCAGCAGCAGCTAATGAATTACCTTGCTTTCACGTCCTGAAGTTCAGAGCACACCACCTGGTAACGCTGTTCTGCATCAGCCTTTTCTTGAGATAATTTCTGACGTTGTAAATTACTGTTTTCAGCCTCAACAGTCAACTGCTGGACACGAGCCTCCAGTTCTTTGACAGTCTGGTTCTAAAAGAGTAGGTTGAGAAAACACCAGAATCAATCAGGGCGTGCTCCTGTTGTTATTCAGTAGCCTAAAGCAACAAGGCTCTTTGGTGGTCCAGAGACACAAAGAGTTACAATAGCAAAAGTGTCATCAATCATGACCGTAAATTCTATGTTGCATATAAACAAATAAATCTTCAAAATATGGAGGTCTGCTCCTCCCTGCAGAGTAACAAGTCTTCTCCCCTGAGCAAAACAACATGTGCAATTGCTTTCTAAATTCCTAATCTGTTAAAATGAGAGACACAACAGATATGTCTAAGGAGAACCGCAGTGGGTGCACGTAAAGCATTTTTAGACCTTCCATTAACCAAAGAGTGTGTTATCACCACACACCCTAGTACAACGTGCATGAGGGAAGGAGTATTTGAGGAAAAATCTATATATATATAAGATTTTATTGACCATTATGGTGATGAGCAGCTATAAAAGTCAGCTAGAAAACATATTAAACAGCATCAAGTGAAATCTGCAGCTCTTGCATGCTGAAATATTTTCTAGAGTACTTTTACCACCGTTGTATATTTATAGATATGAAGATATATACATACTAAATTTCTAAACTAAAACAAGGAGCAGTGCACTTAGGTTCCTAAGGAACGATAGGTTTTAAACAACTGCCTTTTATGTGCACACTTTGGAACAACCACATCCAAGGATGTAAACTAAAAGATACTGGAACACCTGCTATGGATTTGGAGGACATAAGAAGGTTATAACACAAATGCTGCATTAACAGTGCAAATGCCATCTAGCTATGTTTGAAATCAGTTAACAAATATTAACTATATCCACTGATCATCTTGTAAGGTAAGTGTATCTTCTCCATTTTATTACTGGAAAAGGCACACAGAGAAGGCAAGTGTTGTGCACAGGAACATAGCAAATCTGTACCCAGACTGCGAGTGCATTCCTCAAGTGTCTGCTCGTTTACCTTTCCCTAATCTACTTCTCCCCATCATTTGTTTAATTACAGCGATTTCCTTATGACAAATTACAAACATCTATCAAAAGATGTATGTCTTTCATTTTGTAATATAAATAATTCCAAAATGAGCAGAACGAGGACAGCACATGTAGCATGAGACTACTCTACCACTTCCCATTCTTCCTTAAATTTATGTTAATAACCATGGACTCCAGAGGCTGGAGTCAAAAAACAAGACACAGCTGCCCTTCCAGGATGTATGTATCATAGTTATTTTTATACCAACAAAGGTCCAAAGATGAGGGAAGTGGAAGAGTGTTCTCCTTCTCTGTTAAAGTAAGATCAAAACTCTAACATCTGCCATCTCGAGCCAGTGCCCCAACTGTCACAGGACTGTTAAAGGAGCCTGGACTAATGCAAGAACCTCAAACAGTGAAGAACCTGAACTTCACCAACTGGCTTAAGATACTTCAGAAACAGCGGAGCCAAGTTCTCCCTCAGTGCAAAGCCAGCTGCATGGTATGGGGGGGTTTTGGCTGGGATTTTTTGTGGGTTGGGGGCTTCTTTTGTTTATTTGGGGGGTAGGGTTTTGTTCATGGGGGTTTGGGGTTTTTTTTAAAGAACAGATACAAAAAAAGAAACGAAGGTCACTTAACATATCACCAAACATCAAAATTCCTTCCCAGCTCCCCATCCCTCAAGGAAATTAATACTTGTTCAATGCACAACCCCCTACTTATCAGTTCTATGGTATTAAATGGTTCAGCCAATTTCAGTTGCTAACAGCACTGGCATTCTTGACAACGTGAAACTCTGAACAAGGAAACTCTGAAATACCAACAAACCCACCAAAAATCAGGAGACAGAAAGAGAAGAGAGAAAAAAAGAAAACTAATTTCCAGTGACAGACTCGTCTTTCATCTTAAGCCCTGCCTTGAACTCTACCTTGTTTAATTATTAAATCAGAAGCTGCTCAGCAAGATCTGTCTAGTTTTGATGGTTCTTAAATTCAATCCTGCTGACAGACTGTGTCCATTTTCCCTCTGTATTTACTGTTACCTATGACATGATCTGAATGCTAATTTTTAAATTCAACGTTCATTAATAAAGGAATAAATTTTGTTTGACATTGTCTTTTCACTCATCCCATTTTCTTCCTACCTCATCCTGATAAAAAGTACAGGATGTTTTCTTGAGGATACTTGTTAATTTTTTGCCTTTGTACATCATTTACAGAGGAGGCACAAAACCCTGCTTACATGTTTCTAATTATTCCAGGAAAGAAATGCAATAAATTAGAATAATGCAATAATTATTAACATATGTTTTATTTGCTCTTTAATCTAACAGAAGCATTTGATCACTCGGGGAGGAGGTGAGTAAGTAAGAAGTCACATCTACCTATGAAAACAGATGCAGTATAGACACCCTTTTTTATAGTCTACAACGCTACAGAGACAAAAGCTTTGCTAACTTGAATCAAAACCAATGAGAAATACTAATCCTTCAGTACAAACACGTATCTGAGCAGTATTCACTGAAGGGCTGTACTTCAGTGAGTTTTACCTGGGACAAAAGTCCTTGGTTGGACTGGCTGCCAGGACACTGTCCTCTCCCAAGAGAGAACAACTGCACTGCACCATCAAAAACACTTCTCAGCCCAAGAGTACCTACATACTTGAATACTGCACGAGATACTTACTATTGTGACATATTTTACAAGTAACTTACAGTTGACTTTATCTGTTCCAAATAATCTTCCTCCATTTTGTCCAGACGAGTGTTGGTGTCCTCCAGCAGCTCCTGCATATCTTCTGTGTGCTTCTTCCGAATATTAAACTTCTCCTTTTCCATTTCAGCCACAGCATTATGAAGCTGCATCACAAAGATGTTAGGAAATGAGTGCTATATAAAACTAGCATTTGTAAGTATATTATTATAGCACATAAATAGAGTAACTGAGAAGCAGAGGCCGCACTTCCAACCTCTATGACAAAACGAGATCATGGTCTCACTAAATAGGTCTACTATGACTCTATACAGCAGCAATTTAGGAGTATAAGCAAGTCATAGAATCGTAGAATAGTCTGGGTTGGAAGGCACCTTCAAAGGTCACCTTGTCCAACCTCCCTGCAATGAGCAGGGACACGTTCAACTAGATCAGGTTGCCCAGAACCTGGGCATAGAGAGCATAACCTAATCCAGACAGAATGCTAAAACACATACGTATTTTTGCCACTCTGATACACTATTTGCTTACATATTTTAAACTGAGCACCAGTGAGTGTTGCACAAAATTAACGACTTTCTCTTACAGAAAAACTAATACTCTCTCCAGAGACTTACACTGGTGGTTTATCTGCCTCTCAATTTGTAAGAAGCTGAAGAGCCCTGAACATCTACTTGTCTAATAAAAGGATTATCTGTGTCATTACTAACACTTGATTTACATCCTAAACACCAGTGGCCTCTCTTTCTAGCTAAGCAGCCTCAAATCTAAGTTCTCTATCTAAACAATAGTAAAGAATAATGTCATGTGAAATTAGCATACAAAACTTGTCTGGTGCTTTGGTTCTGTAACAGCCATTGTGTATTTCTCAAGTTTCTAACACATCCATTTCATGGCTGAAGGAAAAAACTGCAATATAGAATACAAAAGCATCTTTCTAAATGCACTGCCAAAGTCAGGTTAATTTGCACACATATAAGGGTTTCTATTCAACATATAGAGAAGCAGAAAGTTACTCATTACCCTGCCTACTGCCAGACCAAAGGATTTTTATCATGCAGAATTCTGGAGGTCTCTGTGAATCTGGACCATGATTTAAATGGACTTCAACAGTGTGCAGGAACTTAACATAGAAGTTTTCATCCATAAACTCACAGGAGTTTTCTATTCTATGATTGTATAATTCTATGATTCATCCAAAAGATAAGAATGCTGATAAATTACGGTAAGTGTCACGTATATACTGTGGGGTTCAGAAGCTTTGTTGAATTTGAGATCCTTTCAAAAATAATCTGGGAAAATAAATAAACAAACTTTTCATCTCCAGGTGCATGAGCTAGAAACAAACCCAAAAATCCTGGGAATGTCTCTACCTCCTGTACACCAACCAGACTACAATAATATCTGCATTATTGTCAGCAACATCTATTCAAACAGCTTGCATCTATTCAAACAAAAAAATATACAGAAGGAAGTAATTATAAAGTTATTAAAATACTGTACTGTTAGTTTTACTGTATTTCCATCACAATTCCCACTATCCACTTTTTTCCATTAGATACATGCTTCGATTTCACTCCTATAATTCCATGAAGTTAATATTAGCATTTTAATTTGCCCTCTTGTTTGCACACTGGCATCACTGACGACAACTACAGCTGGAGGAACAGCACTTGCCAGGTAACTGCAACAAGGGGGTGACCTGGGGCTGAAAGTAATGCTCCTCTAAAACAAGAAAACCCCATCTAATGCTGAAGCCTCAAGGACTTAAGCACAAAGGACAAGATTTATGACATAGCTCTTACAAGACAAGAATTAAAACCAACATCACTTCCACACACAGAGCTGCAAAACTCCATCTATGAAGGGAGGTGGTTTTACCCTTTTTGTGACCCTTCCTCTCCTCAGAGGGACAAGAAAGAAAATACCAACAGTAATCTGGAGAAAGGTGAAGCTGTCTCACAATAAAGATGCTTTTCCCTCTGCTTTGCTGCTGCCTTGAGTGTAACATTAAATAAAAACACATTGAAGAATTCATGACCCATTGCAAAAAGAAGAGTTCAAAGGAAGCACCGTGGCAGCAGGTAGCAGCAGGTTTACCGAGATTAAAATTCCATGTCAGGTCAACCAGAAACAAACACTTCCCTAATACATCCCGAGACTTGCCAAGAGGGCCAGATGAACCCCAGGAACAGAGTGCCCAGCTGCAGGGTGCAGGGGCGTGAGCATCAGCAAAGAGTCTGGCAAGATTACTCCAGCAAAAACAACAAAATCAGCAGAAGAAAACAGTCCAAAAAGTAACATATTCCTTATAGTTCATTTTTTGAAGGAACAAAATGCATTATCCCACATACACACTGTAGGAGTCTTTCAAAGAAAGCAAGTTATTCCTTACCCTTTTCTCCCATTCATTGTTCAAAGACTCATTGCTTTGCTCACACATCTTCTTTAACTCTACAATCTGCTTCTCTTTCGCTTCCCTGATGACTTGTGACTCACGAAGAAGGGTCTGAACTGTCAACAATGGGAAAATAAAACAACCATTCAAGACATACCTTTGGGATTTGCCAGTATTGGCAACAGATGCGACCAGAATATATCAATTTTCCAATTGACCTGGCTTTCTGATGGTTTTTTGCCTCTAAGAAATACTTAATGCACGTGCTTCTTCAAGACTTAGCACTTAGATTCTGTGCCACTAAAAAAATACAAAGTGTTCCCCCTTCTCTACTTACAAAATATTTCATAGTGAGTTTTCCTTACTGAAGTAGTAAATATACATTGACAAAATGCTGTGTAACCTAAAGAAAACAAGCATTTTTTAGCCTGAGTTTACATGCACCCTTAGGAGAAAAGGTTCTCATAAAGGTTGAATGCCCAAGATAAACAAGGAAATTAAGTTCCCCAATTTAAATTACAAGTGATTGCACCAAGAATTCACAGTCTGGCAAATTTGTGGAAAACAACATATTATCCACTTTTCCATAGTCACTGATGATTTTCACTCTCTGACATGAGTGTAGGTGGCTCGAATACAACCTGTTACAGCTGAATGCAACCAACAGAAGCACCAGATCCCTTCTTGGACAATTTACTTTGACAAGGAGCAGGAAACAATATACATGGAACTCACTTTCTTTTAGTACGTAGATTGCCAAACTTGTGGATTATTTTACATTGTGGTTTAGTCCATAGTGTAAATGGACTCCAAGGAATTCTAAAAGAAAATAACATTCAAAAACTGCTGACAAGCCACGCTCAGGCCAAGTTTGTGCTTATGACATATTCAAGACTACTACTCATGTTCGAACACTTGCTGTAATAGTCCTAAATAAATAATACGTTGTGGTTTGATTAAAATGTACTGAATGTATAAATAAATTAACCTTGACCAGAGATTCCAGAAAGTTTCAAGTAAGTGGTCAAAATACTTGGGAATCATCAAAGAAACTTTTTCTGGCGACGCTCATGAAACCTGTGAGTATGAAACACAACAGCACCACGCTGCCTCTTGGAAAAGTTGGTTTGGAGACTGGACAGCAAAGACAACCAGATAAACCTCTAAAAAAATCTAAAGGAAAGAGGTCAAGACCTGCAAAGGAAGAGAAAAGGGACATCTGCACCTGGAAAGAACATGTAAGCCCATAGCCACAAGAAGGATGCAGCGCAATACAACCATGCAGAAAACCACCACCACGAAGATAAAAAGCACCTTTGGTCTCCAGCTTTCTAATAGTCTCCTCAGCTTCACTTTGTTTGGTTTTGTAGAAGGACTTCAAGGCCTCGATTTCATCATTCTTTCTATCCAAAATCTGTAGGGA